AAATAACATGGTATGAAATCTTGTTTATATTAGAGATTAAAGAAATAGAAAGGTTCTAAAACACATAACGTGATCATTCTATTTTTGACTTTTTTTTTCAACAGTGAATCGTTCTTTGACATCATTGCTCATTTGAGATAGAAAAAAACCCAGAGTGTATTTAAGATAATAACATTTCATCTCACGAAGTCGAAAAGAAAGCGGATTTTTTTCGAATTTTAATGAGTAAAAAGTAAATATAATCATTCTGTAATTCTATGTGTAAACAAATCCGTAATGTAAAACTTTCGATAGAATCTTGGGACTTTTTTTTTCAACAGTGAATCGTTCTTTGACATCATTGCTCATTTGAGATAGAAAAAAACCCAGAGTGTATTTAAGATAATAACATTTCATCTCACGAAGTCGAAAATAAAGCGGATTTTTTTCGAATTTTAATGAGTAAAAAGTAAATATAATCATTTTGTAATTCTATGTGTAAGTTGGAAAGTCAAATGATTCACAATGATATTGATAATAGTAGCAAAGTATAAAAGTCTGTAAAATGAAGATAGAAAGAACTGTGATCACTTTCATCCACAGAATAGAACAAAAACATGTCATATCAAAGTAGTAAGTACTTCACAAAAAATTAAAAGTTACACTCACTAACTATTATTATAGTCATTAATGCACACAACCCAATTCGTGGCTCAAATCATAAATGTAGTCTACGTGCAAGTGCTCGACTTGGAAAAGCAGCACAAAGTCATGCTAATTGGATGGCTCAAACACAAAGAATGTCTCACGAAGAAAATGTACAAGGACGAGTACATGTAGGTGATCGTGTTCATAAAGCTGGATACAACTATCAAGCAGTAGCAGAAAATATTGCATTTACTAGTGGACAAAATAATTCAGTTCCAAAAGTTATGAATATGTGGATGAATAGTCCGGGTCATCGAGAAAACATTTTAAATGGAAATTATAATCAAATTGGTGCAGCTGTTGCTCGTGCATCTGATGGATCTCTCTACTGGTGTGTTGTTTTTGGTCGAAGATAGATAGAATGATCACGTTATGTGTTTTAGAACCTTTCTATTTCTTTAATCTCTAATATAAACAAGATTTCATAC